TCGTATTGTCCGAAATGGTAGTCTTTTTGGAAGAAATTCAAAACATGTCTGCGAGAATATCCCTGCAAGGGTTATCGAAGGCGCTGATTACCAAAATATGATTTCAGTCTTTGGCAGTATACGGTAAGGTTACGGTAATCATTCTACACGAACCCAACATCACGAATTTTTGTGAAAAAATGCGTTTTGGGGTCATTTCACATGCTGACCACGATTATAGTGTCTTTGTTCACTACTTTCCCACAGTGGAACTATGGTAGCAGTATGGTAGAATTCTCGTAAGAATTAAGAAACTGATGTAAGAAGGCGATATTAGAACTTGAGCCTATCATTTTCGTAATTAGCATGCTAAAAAAATCTATATATGCAAGATTTGAGCCTCCTGGGATGTACAATGCGAAAAATCAATAAACTCAATAAAATCTATAGTTTTTGAGGGGCTGAAATCAGTCTCGTGCTCTCCCTGTATTTCTCGTGCAAATAAATTCGTATTGTCAAAAACAGCACCACTCTGCGAGATTTGAGCTAAAGTCTGCGCCTTACCTTGATCTACAGTATACCTACCGTAACACTACATTACAGTACCCCGAACCCGGACCACTCCGGCTAGAGCTTCGCCAAGGTGTCCCCAATCATGTGCCAGAATCCCGTAGAATTCCATCGTATACTGGCAAAGTTAGAGCTTCCGGAATCTTACGACCCACCGGTGGGTTGTATTGTCCGAAACGGCAGAACACGTACGACCCACCGGTGGGTCGTATTGTCGCGAATGTGTTAAGCTCGATGCTGAAGACAAGCACTTCGATCAATGATGAGTCATAACCTAGCACAGCAGAAACTTAGCAGATGTTGACATCCATTATCTGGGAACGTACAACTACAAAACTTCCGCTTAACGTAAAACAAGGTTGACTTCGTCGCAACAATGATACCTTAAGCCGTTACTTACCATCTTTGAATCCTAAGAAGTGCGCATCGCGGTATGATTCCAAATATGCCACTGTAGGGCAACTGTAACCCTAGGAGCTAACACAACACGACGCGTTCAACGTCTATTGTGATACTGACTTAGCTTACAACAGAAAAGCCCGTCGACCCCCGAACCCGCCCGCCTTGTTGCGAGATGATTGATGTATAAGCCGGTTCGGCCACAAGTAGCAAATGGCCGAACACCACAAAACGTATAGGGGCCGGCATGATCGCGAGAGTAGGACGTGCGTACGGCCATTGCGCCGCGCACGTCCGATGTCACTGAGGCAGGTGCCAGACTCATCTTATTTGACTGGATCGTCCGGTTCATTCGCTACTGGTCAAATCAATGCACTGACCAATAACAGAGGGGTGAACCCAATGAACCTGCTGAGAGTAAATCTGCCACCTACCTGAGCCGTGGAGCCGGACATCGGATGTGCGCGGCGCAATGGCCGTGCGCACGTCCGACTCTCGCGATCATGCAGGCTCCTATACAGCTTACATCAATCAGTTGTTTCTGCTTGTATAGTTACCATAGCTTAGTCTAAGCAAATAAAGTATTGATAGTGACAGTAACAATTTGTTCATACCAAGCGCTACATGAAAAAAAGCCAGAGGAGAGTGAAAAATGGACTTTATAGAAGACAAGCTGGGAAAGTAGCAGATAGCAAATAGATCCAATTTTATCTGTGCGCTAGTTTAATGTATGATCTGTGTCAACACGTGCTCTCTTCCTCTAGCAACTACGCGTCCGCAGTGCTGGCACTGCGCAGCGATCCGATCGACGCGGCAAATTTGAATGCTCGTGCCGTACGCCCGCGAACGCGGCAGGGGGTTGAAAGAACGAACACCTCAATTAGGCACCGCCTCCGCGGACTACTGATCCCAATGCACAACAGTAGAAACAGGACCAGCAGCACTCCAAAGGGCTCTAGCGTCACGCTTGAGCTGACCGGAAAGACAGCACATCGCTGGCACAGACTCTAGCTAAGAAAATACTCCTATGAACTGGTGCAGATAAATGACTCATTCTTCTGTGACTACCGTAAACATCTCTGCTGCACTTGAAGTTATTCTAATGTTGCGATCGATCTTTCTTAAAAATTCTTTGGAAAGGACTAGAAAGAGAGAATCAGCATAAAGTCGATATAGTTTAAAAAAAGAAAAAAGAATCAGCAAAGCCGCTGAGATGCAAATAGTGGTGACCATGAGTTGGAGGTGACTAGTGAGGTGCATAAAGTGATTCCACTTTGATGGGTTCTCTTCGACTTCCAAGAATGTAGTTGGCGGACTATCTGCCATGTTCACGCGACGCGGAAAGTCAACAAAAGTGATCTACCGTAAAACATCAACGCAAGAATGGACGCATTTTAAGGGAACGGCCATAGGTTGTCGGTGTTGTCGATGTTATCGGTGTTGTCGGTGTTGTCGATGTTGTCGGTGTTGTCGGTGTTCGGGGTTGCCGAGGTTGCCGGTCGTTGTAGGACCTCATGATAGCCTCCCCGTTTCGCGCGCTCTTTGAACTGTCTCTGACCCCGACCACCCCGACAATCGACAACACCGACAACACCGACAACATCGACAACACCGACAACACCGACAACTTATGGCCGTTCCCTAGGAACGTAAGCGCGTCCAAACTGACAAGAAATTCTGCTATCTTAAAGGCAGTGTCCAGGTGAATCTGAGCGCATGGTTTTTCTGCCTGTAAATTGATAGGGGGTTAACTATGCATTGCCCAATAGGCAACGCAAATAGTTCATTCACTGCTATAGTCGTCCTCACCCCACTAGTCGGTCGGTGGTCGAATTTGAATTCGAACTGGAGCTGGCCGTCTGCGGCAGAGCGCGGCAGGCGCCGCCTCTCAGCCAACCGCTTGCACAAGCTTTTTTCTTATTTTATTCGTGTTTCTTTGCTATCCCTCGTACTGCGGCAATGTTCTTACCTTAGATTTTCAGAATCGTACCGCTAACTCCTTGAAAACAAATACTTTTTGAGGGAATTTCAGCCCTATTACAAAATAATAGTTCAGAGTGTACCATTCTGACGAAAAACTTGACACAGTTCATCAAATCACATTTGTGTCTATATCACTTACCGAAAAAAAGATTTCTCATCCTAAATCTCCAATCGCATCTTCTTTCCCGGTTTACCTGGAAAAAAATGTAGAACAAACGAGCACAACTGCACAAAACAATAGTTAGCGGTACAAAATCTTAAAATCTGATCAAGAACATTGCCGCGATACGAAAGATAGCAAAGAAACACGAAGAAAGAAAGAGAAAAGCTCATGCGCAAGCGGTTGACTGAGGGGCGGTCTGCCGCGCTCTGCCGCGGCCGGTCTGCTTCAGTTCGAATTCAAATTCGACCACCGACCGACTAGTGGGGTGAGGACGACTATAAGAACACCACCCCCGAAATCCCAGCGCCTGCGCCGTGACCGTAACTTGAAAACGATTCGCTCACTTTAACATTACGTTCGCGCTGGGACCCATGCTAATTGTTACGCTCACGGCGCAGCCGCGGAGTGTTTGGCGACATATTCCTCAGCTTGAATGACTTGCTGCCTCTTGGGCAGTGGCCAGAACCTCCTCATCAGTTTCCAGGCAAAAAACCTATATGCCCAGATTTGCTTGGACATTGCCTTTAAAAGTGGAGGTTACCGAACCCGATGAAGAGGCATGGGTATACGCAAAAATCAAACGTTTTCCTACCGCTAATGTGCAGTTCGACTCTCACACTTTAAGGGATATTCAAGATAAGTCCGATAGCCAAGAAAAAGACTGAAGCAGAACCATACCCAGAAATGAACAAATAGCAACCTGCAGAAACTGGACGCATCCAAAGTCAGAAGAGAACACACCGCGAAGAACCTCTGGCAGACTATGGTTCAACTACGAGAGGGAAATTGAGCACCAATAAGATAACCAATCTATGGCACAAGATAATAACAACAATGGACACAAGTATGATATATGAGATCGAACTCCATACTGGCGGCAACAGGAAAAAAGCGCGGATGGAAAGCGTGGGCGGATGAACTCAAAGTAATAAGAATTTGATGATTTTGCGCTTCTATGAACAAAAGCGGCCAGCGGCGGCTATGGGCCGCTGGCGGCGGCTGCCAGCAACTGCGCACTTTGTTTTGACTTCAGTTTCGTTTCGAACTATTTGATGCCACCTTTCAGAAGCCGGCGAAACAATCACCAAATTCCTTTGTCTCGCTCATTAAATTATGCTCCCCTTATGTTTCACGTCCGTGGTAAAACCCCTAACGTCGATAGTCTGTAGAAAAAGTCAATTCTCTCCGCTAATTTTCGACCGCCTGTCAAACTTCCTTCTCCGAGCACACCATGGGGTGGAGGAACGAACACCTCAACTAGGTACCGCCTCCGCGGACTGCTGGTCCTTTCGTCCCACTGTTGTGCATCGTGTTGGGACCAGTAGTCCGCGGAGGCGGTGCCTAATTGAGGTGTTCGTTCCTCCACCCCACACCATGTACATGGAAAGGGTCAAAGTCAGACAGATGTCTAAAGCAAGAATTTGTCAAGTCATGAAATAAAGTTGTAAAGTCTTCGGAGTTTTGGGCAGTTCAAAACATAAGCATCTTCCCACATATTGTAGAATTTCTAGCTGCCTTCGCGGCGGTATGGCTTTGGAAGTCGAAGCAAGGCGTCAAAGATGAATTTTGATGCCGAAGATCGCCATCTTTAATGCTGTCTGAGGCCTCACTTCATGCGATTTGAGTATCACAATGCGCTTACTATAAAACAATCATCGTATTGCCAGATCACGTCACACCTGAAATCGCGCGAAGTATGGCCAAGGCCCAATACGATTCAATCGATAGATACACGGAAAACAAGCAAACTATCTAAGGAAGCAGAAGATAAAGCTTGCATGCGCACGCATTTTGTGAGAAGTGAAAAAGAATCTCTGCAATATTTCAAAACGTCACGGACTAAAACATACTAATCATACGCAAAGTGCACGTCGTCTTAGTCGAACGAGAAAAATTACAGAGAAACTTACCGTTCGACCCTTGTGGAATAAATAACATATCGTTGAGCATTAGCAACGTCCTCTCCAGCTAGCACTCTTCCAAACTGCTCGGACCAGAAAACTTTGCGTTCATAACTTTCGTGATGTGCGCAGTAGCTGATCGAGACGTACGCTTGGAGCTAAACTGCAAATGTTGATTTCCTGATACATGTGTTTTAGGAATTCAAAAATACTGGAAATGTGCTTCGCCACGAAATGTCATTTACTTGCATTCTGCGATGTCAAAACATCAGGGGTGATACTAAAGATTTTAATAATGCCGATAGTTTGATAATTTTGCTTGAAAACGCTAATTTCTCAGTCTCGCTTCTTCCAGGTTTTCAACGGCCGTGGGTGAAGAGGGTCAACAGGGTTCCGGGGGGTAGGAACACATTTTCCCCTTTTCACATGTATGCATTCAAGACTAATTAGTAAGAACGAGATATCAGCGCTTACAGAAGAAGAAAAAAGTGCGAAAATTGAAGGAGTGTAGTCGGTATGTAACGATACATTCATTTTCTCATCGTCTTAAGCAGTTGAATTTGCAGGCGTGCTCGTTGGGACCGCCGCACGGTTTCCCACTATCTGATACTTTTTGAATTCCTCTTACGATTCTTTATTAGATTAGATTTCTAAATTCGGCGTACCGCATAGACATGGAAAAAGCTTTGAGTTTTTCGAGAATTCCCTCAAAGACTGACGGCTAGATCTGAGGGTAGGTATAGGGCTTGGAAGTGTCACAGAGGGAGGGGGAAGAGGAAGGGGGTAAGTGAACCTGGGGGGGCAGCCAACATGAACGATAGATTGTGCCAGCCATACGCGTTACGTAGGTCAAATATTTTCTAGATTCTATAATTACGCTATGATGATATTCAAAATTTTGGAAAAAACGCTAGGTGCTCGGTACCGCCTTATTCTTACTGCTCGACACCATTTTCAATCCAGTGAAGAACATATCGCTTAAAAAAATAAGATAGGCGCGGCATATTGACAACCGCACGAGTACAGTAAGCTTATTTCCAGCTATCGTTCATCTTGTCATACACCCGTGAACCTGCTGAGAAAACAAAACAGGGATGGGAAATTAACATGTAGGAGTGGGCACAGGGAAAGGTTGTAAAGGAATAGAAATGGTGGGTTTATCATAGTATTTTAACAGGGCTGGGCCGAGCCGGATATGCCAGCTGGTTATCTTTAAGATAAACATACCTTAACTACGCCATCGCTTCCAATCACCACCGATTTGTTTTCTAGAGGTGACTGTTCAGGCACATCAAATTTATCGACATAATATACACCATTCGCGTCGGCGTTCCTAAGCACGAACTGCAGCTCCCAAGACTTGCACGCTCTAAATGTTCAAGTAATATTATGGAGTTTTTGAAGGAAAATGTAGAGCGTTGGCATTCTGCCAAGCAATTCAGAGGAGAATGAGGGGACGCAGACATGAATTCTGACTGTCAATGTATACGGTGCAAACCGTTGCGCAGCGTACGCGTCAGCCTAACTTCCGCCTAAAGCCTCAGGCATACCTCCCGCTCTTTAAATCGCTACATCAGCGCGACTCGGCAGTCTGCCAGATTTTTGCAGATATTAATCGCGCGCAGCTGTCAGGCGCATAGGCCCGTAACTTTAGTGAGTTGTCGCAAACACTTCGAGTTTTGCTCAAGTAGAGCACGACAGCCACTTACGAACAGTCGATGCCGTGCCAAATCGCGCAGCGACTGGAATCGCTCGAGGTATGCCTTAGGCCTGAGGCATAGAGAATAATTTCCGCGATTTCAGTTAGTGCACCATTTTCTCAAACAAACATCAAACATTTGTTCCAAGTCCGGCGTGCGGCGCGTTTTACTGTGTGATGGCCACGCGTCTGTATTAGATGACGGTGCGAGTAGTCGCGGGGCAACTCTGAACGGTATAACGTAGCGACATCGCTGGAACTTAGCCGTGCCGCCGCTGCCAGTCTGCACCGGCGAGGGGCAAACTGCTAGAACGGCTTCTTCTTTGCGAATCTTTTCATTTTTGCAAATGCTAATTTCATTGGAAAATATTCCAACTCACACAAGCTCTTCTTCTTTGCAAAAGAAAGAAATGGTTGGCAAATTTCATACCATTAGTCCTTGGAAAGTGACACATGCCTAAGTACATAGTATGGAGTGCTTCTAAATCACCTTACCGTCTGCGTTAGCATGCATACGTGCGAGAACCATGCTGTGCAAAACATACGCCGCTCTTGCTTCTACCCTTGTTCGTCACTTTTTCCATTTTTATAGTGGCACTTTTTCGTTCTTATTTCCACAAATGCATTTTAGGCTAGTCAATTCCCTTGTCAAGATCTCGTCGTATCTATTTCTTTTTTTTTTGGAAGAGTATAATTAACAGTGCTGTTCAACATTGTGTACTCGTAAAACTGGGAAACAGGCGATTTCGCAAATTTTGCATATATCGCAAAGAGAACGCCGGCTGATAAAAAGATGAGAAATGTTGCATCGAATGGTGCTTGAACCTTTTACCATTCCATGCTCAACGCTCTTTAAAAGAGCCGCATCGGAAACATATTGTGCGCGTAGTAGGCGGGGAGTTAGCAGGTGCGCAAAATAAGCAATTTTTCGAGTATTACAGGAGGTCCTTCATATGCGCGGTGGTTAGGAAGAAGAACAGAGGCATGTTAGCGGTGTCCTTACCTGTCGTCTGGTAGATGAATACGATAAAGACGCCGTTTCTGTATGGAATAACATTCAGCCAGATGATTGTCGTTGATAGAAGTAACACTTAGGCATATTGCTGTGATCAGTTCATCTAAAACTTCAAAAAGAAATAATGTGAAGAAATTTTTAGGAAAGGGGCTTGCACAAGCTGGCACCAAATTTTGCATACAAGTCACCTTTGAGTTCGCAAACTTTTACGAAATCCCCCTATGCCCAACCGACTGAAAAATGCCTACACTCATGCTTTACGATGGCAATTGAGCTTGGAGCGGAAGTGCGCCAATTACCGATTTAATGGAGGCTCTGAAAAGTGAAGAAGAGAGAACAAGGCCGTTTCGGTAATAGTATGCAGTTTCTAATATGTAGGCTCAGATTTATATATGGACGAATTAGTGAGAAAATTTCGGCAGTTGTTTTATCTCGGGCACAGTTTAAAATCCCGCACTACGCAAAGATGTTAACGCACAAATCGACCCCGTGTTTTGGACACCGGTGAGGAAGTCTAGAAGGCCATTTCCAATATAGAGTTCGATGCTAGCGCATAACTCTGCAGGACCCTCCTACGGACACACAAAAGTAACATCCCCTCTGCTTCCTCTCAACTAGATAAGAATGACCTCCAGCTTGCCCCTGTGCCAGCCGTGAAAAACCCCCTTGGACGCAAAACGGAAGTTAGTTACCCTAGCAGCAGGTGCCGGTTTCACGAATGAATTGAGAGATTTTCAGCAAAACAGTTCACATATTTGGAAAGAGTGTCCTTGATACACCGTAGTCTAGGTTTTCGGTCCGTTTCGACAACTTCCAGTGGCGAAGTTCCAACTTAAGATTTGTGTCAGAGTCATTTCATAGTTACCAGGCACGTCTCTGTAGCCTCTTAGGCAACGGCTCACATGCTTGGAAAAAGCACTCCAAGTTTTTCGTTCGTTTAGACTATTTTTTTTATACTAAAATATTAATTTCAAAAATGCTTGAAATTTCAGTCTCTTAATCACTACCTAAGGTGGGTGTAACTTTCTGGGTGCAAGGAATGAAACGCGTTTTGGATGGATGTTAACTCCATACTGACACCTCATGATCACTCGAAACTTGAAATAACGCCCTCAGACCAGCTGCCAGAGTACCTAAGTTCCCGCGCCCGAGAGGAAACAGACAAACACCGGTCGAGGAACAGACCGCTGTTTGAAGAAGCTTGCTCATCCATAACCGGAGGCATTGGTACACGACAAGCGTAGCTTTCTCTTCACTGAAAAAACTTCCTCTGAATGTATATTACACAAAATCAAAAGTCTCCCTAACCTTTTTCAGATGCGGATATCGATACGATGCAGCAACAAAAATCTCCTTTATATGACACCATGAAGTAACTGCTAGAGTCCTAGCATTCCACTGTTTCGGAAACAACGTCCCTATCTACCTCAAAACGGACTTGAAAGTGGACTTTTCAATCGATCACGGTCCAGTCTGTCCTTCAACAAACCTGTAAAACTTGGGAAAGAATCTCTCGCGTTGTTTTGGAAGAAATATGCAGCAACAGAACTGAACAGCTAATGAATTCATCGCTTGATGCTAACTCAACTTTTTCACATACATCTGCAGTCACAGCAACAACATGAATCACAACACCTCTGCGCCCATTCGGAGGACGCGCAGGAGGAACCAAAGGCCTGACTGCCAGTGTCCGCAAAAGATAATTAGAGGTGCGGGCACTGCGGCGGAGATTTGCCCAGGATCCAAGAAAATTCGCAGGAATCCAAAAATGTTCTTAGGAGAAGATTCCTCGTAATTTCGCTTGGGAAAAGCTAGAGAAACAAGTGGAAAAGTGTAATCTGCGTTTTCAGGAGCATAGAAGAAATGAAAGCGGAATTCACTTTTTATTTGAATCTTTGATATGAACATCGCCAGAACACGCGTTAGCTACGACGAAGCACCTTCTCAAGTTTCAAGATTGTTCAAGAATTATTGAATGTCAAGAAACCGAAATCGTCAAATTGACGCTAAAAATCTGTAGCAGAAAATCGTTTGAAGACTAAGAAGATTGTTTACGAAGTCTTGTTCAAATTCAAACCGTGAGCCATCTGAGAGCCATTCTGGTAAATTTGCAACTTATAGAAAATCTCAATAAATGTTATACAAAACTTCAATTTCTGAAAAATCTCCAGTGGTTTCAAACACAATTTTGCAATCATGTAGATTTATCAATTCAAGTTTCATCTTGGACTGCTGACTTTAAGTTTGCCTTCCCCTCCATTTTCCAACTTGAATCCTGAAAATTCTTTATGTTTTTTCAATGGCAGTTATTTTATTAACAGAAGCCATAAAAAGTGATTTAAAAACTGCCACTCGTATTTCTCGTGCGTTTTCCAAGCAAAACTATGAAATACGTTTTCTTATGGTCTCCTTCTATTTCTTTGCTTAGTTGTTCTGGATCCTGGAACCAAATCCTCTCGACAGTGCTCGCACTCTTCATTGCATCCTGCGGATATGGTGCAGGGCCTTTGGTTCCTCCTGCTACGCCGCCACCTGACGCTGCCTTCAGAAAGCAACGAATGGTGGGAGGGGGAGGGGGGGGGGGGGAGGAGGACGAGGTTGGGGAGGTCAATTGACGTGAATGGGAACCATTCGTTGCTTTCTGAAGACAGCGTCAGGTATCTCTGGACCAGGATCAAGCGTTGAGAGTGGCATACCACACGTGGAGGGGGGGGGGGTCGTCATCGAAATGATCTGATATTAGCGATAACATGATATCCGTTAACAATGACAGATAGACCCATCATGCAACATCGTATACCTACAGTAAATATAATAAATAAATATAATAAAAGGACCTCAAAGGCATAAGTGCATCATTTTCGTAATTATCATGTCAAATAACCTCTGTAGACCAAGTTTCAGCGAATTCTGAGGTTTCCAGATATTGGTCCATCCAAGTGAGAAGGTCATACAAGCTCTTACAAGTTACAAGCTCTGTTATCTTCGTTTCGAAGGTGAGTTAACTACTTCTTTCTGCACTTGATACAAAGAACCGTCTTCCTCACATCAGGGATTTCACTTCGAGTAACCTGCAAACCAAACAAAACAAGCCTAAATCTAGTTTGTTCCATTTTCCGTTTGCAATATCTCAGGCTAGAGAAGACCAATCAGGCTCAAATCATTCTGGATTATGGCTTGGGCCTTTCAAATATATTCATCCTTGCCGCCTTCTTCTGCGAATTACCTAGTAGCTTAGACTGGGTATCCGTAATCCAATATTCTCGCAGCATTCCATCTACATGGATAAAGAAAAACGACTATATTTATCCCTAGAAGAAACGATTTGGAACAAATTGCCTACAGTGTAAAGAAAAAGGCTGAGCAAAAGCAACGATATAAGAAACGCAGACATTTGAATGGTCAAAGATAAGTTAATGGAGTGTGGCACAGCCCCAAAAAGGTGTGGCAGCCGCAGCTTTTCTGGGGTTGTGCCACACCCCATTAACTTATCTCCAAAAAGAATTTTAGGAAGCGAGTTATACACAGTTCGATAGCCAAAATCTCGTAGTCTTTGTTGAAATGATTGGAGCTGAATTCGTTTTCCTTTTGTTTGAGCAACAGTTGTTGGAAGCGCAGCCACCGTGAGCGAAAAATGGGACAAACGAAATTTTGGCTGGCTCCTAATTCCACAGTTTGATGGTTATTCGAAGCAGGATTCATTGTATGAGCAAATAGAGAGTAGTGATTCGTACTAGGTGCAAAAAGAGGTAGATAATTTACTTTTGAGAATAGTCAATTATGGTGGCCACTTCACTTGGGTGATCCAACGAAGACCCCGAAATTCGCTAAAATTGGCCCACAGGGGGTATCTGACATGAGAATCACAAATCCTCTCCTATAACATAAACCCGATCCCAAAAAACGAGACGGCGAGGATGGTCCGCCCACATGTATGCTTCAGCGGGTGTTTTGAATAGACGCCAGTTTCCGAACGGGGCCTTATTGTGTAGAGACGCGACGGCGCGATCATGAGGTCAAGAGGACGCAGAGGTCCTAGCGCGAACGAGAGGCCACGACACGCAGGGTACGCTCTGCTGCTGCAATGGGTGTGTTGAAAGACGCAAGCGCGTGCCAAGGGTGTTGAAATTGCGAGCTGGACATTATCGCACAGTTAGTTATAGAAGCATACCATTTGATCCGCTCTCATTCGATCTCAGTATTCACTATGCTTCCACTTTTCCGCCAAATTCCGAGAAAATCTTCGAAAATCTCGCTTTTGGGAGCTCTTGCTCTGGGTGAATCCGATTTTTCTTTCCAGATTGTAAGCTTGAGTGCGAGAGTGACATTGCGAAAGGAAGCTGCACAGCGATGACTGGGGCAAGACAAAATTTTAGCACGATATGATCCACTTTTCCGCCAAATTTTGAGAAAATCTTCGAAAATTTCGCTCTTGGGAGCTTTTGCTCTGGGTGAATTCGATTTTTCTCTCCAGATTGTAAGCGTGAGTGCGAGAGTGACATTGCGAAAGGAACCTGTACAGCGATGACTGGGGCAAGACAAAATTTTAGCACGATATGATCCACTTTTCCGCCAAATTTTGAGAAAATCTTCGAAAATTTCGCTCTTTGGAGCTTTTGCTTTGGGTGAATTCGATTTTTCTCTCCAGATTGTAAGCGTGAGTGCGAGAGTGACATTGCGAAAGGAAGCTGTACAGCGATGACTGGGGCAAGACAAAATTTTAGCACGATATGATCCACTTTTCCGCCAAATTTTGAGAAAATCTTCGAAAATTTCGCTCTTGGGAGCTTTTGCTCTGGGTGAATTCGATTTTTCTCTCCAGATTGTAAGCGTGAGTGCGAGAGTGACATTGCGAAAGGAAGCTGTACAGCGATGACTGGGGCAAGACAAAATTTTAGCACGATATGATCCACTTTCCTCCCATTGAAAATATCTCTGAAAATGTTACTTTTGAGCGGTTGTGGCAATACATGTACTGATAAACTGAAATTTCACTTGAGAAAATTATAGGTATGAAAGATGTTTATTTATGGGTGTGCCCTACCCGCTTGCTAGCGACCCGTAGGGTCGCTAGTCTTATATATAAAGCTGAAGTGTGTATGTATGTCTGTCTGTCTGTCTGTACGTATGTGCGGAATAGAAATTTTTATTTCTGAACCGATTTGGATCAAACTTGGCACACATATACTTCAAGGGGGGGGGGGGGGAGCGTGTCATAGGCTACTTTTCGTTATCGATCGATGTCGATTTTTATCGATTTTTTTTGCAGAGTTCACCTACGGGACTGGGAGTTGGCACAGGGAGGTAAGTGGGCATGGCGATTCCGAACACAGTATTGGTTTTTAAAATCGTCCATTACTTTCATCGATTTTATCGATTTTTTGCAAAGTTTGAGCTACGGTGCTGGGAGTTGGCACAGGGAAGTAATCGAGAATGCTGATTACGAATACAATATTAGTTTTTAAAATCGTCCATTACTTTTATCGATTTTATCGATTTTTTGCAAAGTTTGAGCTGCATGGCTGGGAGTTGGCATAGGAGGGTAAGTGAGCATGCTGATTTCGAAAACAACACAGGGAACGGGAAATGAAGTGTAGAAGTGGGCACAGGGAAAGGCTGTGCAGGGATAGGGATGGCACCTTTATTACAGTGGTTTGACAGGCCCTAGCGGAGCCGGGTAAGCAAGTTAGTATATTACTAATTATGCTTGGTAAAGCCTTTATGTCCTTACGGTAGGCAAACGCGTATACGGCGGTTGTGTGCCACATATACTTGGGGAAATTCGAAACTTTTTTCGACTATTCGAATATCGTATATGTTCGAAAATTGAAAATGTCGAATATTCGAATATCGAATAATATTCAAAAATCGAAATCTCGAATATTCGACTATCGAATATTATTCGAAAATGAAAATTTCTAATCGAATAATATATTCGAATATCATTCGTTATTCGAATTTCGAATATTATTCGGTTCTCGAGTGTTATTCGATTTTCGAGTATTTATTCGATTTTCGAATACTGATCGAATAATTTACGTCATTGAGACTGCCTATGAAAGGCCAAAACATCCAAAAATAAATTGTTTCATGTAAGGGTTAAGAATGGACACTTTCTTATGTTACAATTTACGATGGAAAAACGGTTCAGTCGTGACGTGAAGAGACTTAGGAACCTAAAAGCTACTACTGTGACGGTTGTGAAGAGATTTTCGTACTTCAAAGAAGATTATATACCTTCACTGAGAGTTGCGATTGAATATACAGCGATCCCAGCAGTATGTAGATCTGTAGACTGACATCAACTTAGAGTACGGGGCGATTTATCAATCTTTTCACTGTTGTAAAATAACCGTAAGATTAAAGCGGATTTCGAAACATCAAGAGCCATTTCCCCAAGAAGAATGAAAAGGGCCAAAAGTATTGCATTAAACTTGTAAAGACACTCACTTTATGAAGAATCTGCACACAACCGTAATGTTTTTTTTTTCAAAACGTACACCGTAACAAGTGTTTTGCAACGCCTTTCAAAAATGTAATTGCCATTTGGAAAGCTTGAAAACTCATGCGTGTAAAATTAGCATACGTAAAAACACTGCTGCACAGATTTTAGACCTTTTTTGGGTACAATATTTTTGGATGTCTTATTTTGCAGTTGGTTGGTCTATATACTGGAATTTCCTACCGTGATAACACACAATAAGAAAAACATGGGTGATTCGCTTTCTGATGTATTTATAAGCCGAAGCCATCCCTACTGGATGTTACCCAGAAATTGGCAAAAGACTTAGAAAGGTATTAGCGTTCAAACGGTGTGTAGATACTTTTAAGACACCCCGTATACGCTATGCTATGCATATCGAATTTTCGAATATTCGATGCTTATCGAATATTCGAATAGTCAATTCTTATCGAATTTCCGAATATACGGTGTTCAACGAATATTCGAAAATTTGATGGACATCGAATGATCGAATGAATGACCCTCGAATATTCGACTATCGAATAATATTCGAAAATGAAGATTTTCGAATATTCGACTATCGAATATATTCGACTGAAAATTCCGAATATTCGACTTTCGAATTTTACTCTCGTTCCCAGATTTTCGAATATTCGACTTTTCGAATCATTCGCATTCGAATGATTTATTCGAATGATCGAACAATTATTCGATTCGGTCCCAAGTATAGTGCCACATCTCTTGCTCGACCCTGGATATGGGTCAAGTGAAGTTAAGAAAATATAATATTAGGATGTCCCATAATTCTTCACCATTTTTACCCTAGATATCCGGATTTCTTGAGAAGTGCGGCACTTACAAATGGTACAAACACATGATCGTACTCTTGTACAGGGGGCTCAGGACGTCTAAAGGCGGAGTTTGTATTTTACTCCATTCATTTTCTTCTTAATTTCTACCCGTGGAAAACATACGGAAGGTGTATAATCAAATATTCGATGTGTTCGTTTATGTTA